TGTGTGAAAATATTGATTTTGTTCCTGTAAAAAGTGTAACTAGTGGGATAAAACAGAAAAGGGTTTTTAGACTTTCTAGTTAGATTTTTTAATTTTAAAATTGAGACAGTGGGTCCATAGAAGCACTAACCGGACGTGTGAAAAATATTGTTTTCACTTTTGTCTATTTTTATTGAGGTGAGATAGAGAAAGCTAAGAGGCGACGGAGAAGACGATTGTGAACTAGAAATTTTTTGACTAACAACGAGTGACGAAGAAAATGGCGAGGAGGCGAAGCCTCCACGGGAAAGAGATAGCCGACGGTGAGTGTTGTTGTTTGGTTATTTGGAAGTCGGTGATTTGTTGATCGATGGAACTTAACTAGTAGTTTTATTAATTTCTGGTGTTTCAGGGACGGCATAGGTGGAGGATGTGAGCGCTAGTTTACCGGCAAGGTTATTCACAACTGACCGATTTACATGGTGTGGACGTTTAGGTTGGAAAACAAAAGTGTATAGTGTTACTCGTACATGGTTGAATAATGTACATGACCAAACGATATAGCGTGGACATCTTGGATAATGAATATGTTGTGGACGTTTAAGTTGGGAATCAAGTTTGGAAGCATGCGTGTACAATGGTAGTGTACTTGGTTGAATCATAAACATAACAAATGGACGTATGAAGTGAGTGTACATACAAGTTTGTGTAGATGTTGAACTATGTACATGTACGTACGAAGTGAGTGTACGTACAAGTTCGTGGACAAGTACATGTACATGTTGTATGATGTACATTTTGTGGACATAATAAAAACAAATGTGTAGAATGGTAGCGTACATGGTTGAATCATGAACATAACTATAGAGAAGCCGTAGACATAGTATTTGTACATGTACGTATGAAGTGAATGTACCTTCAAGTTTGTGTACAAGTATGCTATGGCGAATTCCTAACTCCTCGTCCTTATGGTCGTCCAAACTTGTAGGCAGTGGATATACATACAAGTTCATGTACAAGTACGTGTACATGTTGTATAATGTACAAGTTGGAAAACAAGTTTGGAATCCTGCTTGTACAGTGGTAGTGAACTTGGTTGAATCATGAACATAACAAAACATAAGTTGTGGACATGGTATTTATACATGTAGGAATGAAGTGAGTGTACATACAAGTTCATCGAGTACAGGAATGTGTAGATGTTGTATAATGTACATGTGGACATTTAGGTTGGAAAACAAAAGTGTACATTGTTATTCGTGCATGGTTGAATAATTTACATGACCAAACGATAGAACGTGGACATCTTGGATAATGGACATGTTGTGGACGTTTAAGTTCAAATCATGTGTGTACAACAGTAGTGTACATGGTTGAACCCTGTACATAACGAAATCTAATATGTGGACATGGTATTTGTAAATGGACATTGTTACTCGTGCATGGTTGAATAATGTACGTGACCAAACGATAGAACGTGGACATCTTGGATAATGGACATGTTTTGGACGTTTAAGTTGAAATCATGTGTGTATAACAGTAGTGTACATGGTTAAACTCTGTACATAACGAAATTTAAGATGTGAACATGGTATTTGTAAATGGACGTATGAAGTGAGTGTACATAGAAGTTCGTGTACAAGTAAGTGTAGATGTTGAACCATGTACATTACGTATGAAGTGAGTGTACATACAAGTTCGTGGACAAGTACGTGTACATGTGTATAATGTACATGTTGTGGACATAATAAAAACAAATTTGTACAATGGTAGTGTACATGGTTGAATCATGAACATAACTATAGATAAGCTATGGACATGGTACTTGTACATGTATGTATGAAGTGAGTGTACCTAAAATTCGTGTACAAGTACGTGCTAATGTTGTGTCGTGTACATGGTGTGGACATTTCGGTTGGAAAAAAACAAAAGTGTATGATGTTACTGATACATGGTTGAACAACATACATACTAAAACAACGAACAAGTTCATGTTTGGGCGAGCTAAGTGACTGAAGAAGAAGGATATATCGTCATCGTTTGTCAGTATAACCGGAGGTGTGGTAATCCCAGTGGCAAGCTCTTGGGTGTTTGAAGGCCAATAACTCAAGACATTTGGAGCAGCAGAGTCGGTGAAAGTGAAGAACTCTTTCTTAACATTGTTTTGTAACTCAGTCAACGCCATCCCTACACGAACGGGTACAATCCTTGACATCTTCTTCTTGTCGTTCACAAAGCTCCAAACAGACTCTCCAAAGGTCCATTCTCTAGAGATAATCGTGACATGTATATCTATAGTGAATCTGCAGAAATAAAACAGTAATGAGTTTATAAAAACTATCTTTTGTGTTATAATTTGTGTGTTAGAAAATAAATCTTCTTCTTTGCGTACAATAATGAGCTATGAGACAAAAAGAATAAGCCCTGAGATTAACCCTGAAAAAAGTATAGAAAGGAGGAGATGAAGTTAACTTTAGGAATGAAATGAAATCTATACCGTCAGTTTGTAATGTGTGTAAAAAGATCCAACGGTTGGGGTAAGAGACATATAAATATCTTGTCATTAAAACCAGATCACAATTTGGACCGTTCATTAGAATGTTAGATAGTAGTTTGCATGAATATATGAATATTTCTCTCAAACGACAGCATACAAAATCTATTTTCGGATTTTCCTAGTAGTTTGCCGGTTTATCGGATTCATATGTACAAAAAAGATTGACAAGAAGGACCTTTACTCTCTCACGACTAAGGGTATCTTCAACCATGACACTAAATTTGGTGTTGAAATTACACTAAATTTGGTGTTTTGGTGTAAAATATTTTTGGCCATCTCCAACCATGAAACCAAACGTTGCACCAAAATTGTTATTATATATTATTTGCAATTTTCAGTTTTAATAATTTTTATGTTTTTATTATTTTTAATTGATAAATAATTATTTTATCACATTTACATATTATAATTATTATTTTTTCTGATTTCATGTTACTAAAATTAATACATTTTTTGGTTTAACAATATTATATTTTTATATTTATTTTATATAAAATACTATATTATATTAAATTTATAAAGTATTGATTATAAAAACCACATAATAGAATATTATATTTATTTTAATAAAAATATTAAATAGGAATACAAGTTTAACTATATTATAAAAAATTAAAAGGTTATTTCAAAGTTTGGTAAATTTAATAGTATTACATAAAGTTAATTATTTGTTATAAAATCTAATTTGACAATAATTTAATATTATTAGTTATTCATTACTGATTGAACTTAAATGGAGATTATAATCGATATTTTAATAAAAAAATAAGTTACAATATAAAATATTAAAGTTCTTTGGTATCTATATTTTTAAATATAAATAAAATGAGAATAATAATTATTGATTTTAAAAATAAAATCAATCATTAATTTTTCAAAATATCATCAATTATTTAAAAATAATTAAAATACAAATAATGCAGTATATTTTATATAGTTAAAATTTGAACAAATAATAATACTAATTGAATTATATTATTAAATGAAACATAATAAAATATATATATTAAATATTTGGTGTGATGAATAGTGTTACACTAAATTAGTGTAGCACTATTCACTCTACACCAAATTTGATGGGTTGATGTAATTTTTAGTGTGCCACTGAAGATGAAATGATACTAAATTTGATGTTTTGGTGTCCTATTGGAATTGGCGTAATGAATGCATTCGGACTTGATTGCAGCCATTAGTCGTGGTTGACATATTAGTAAACTTTCATCTTGATAGATTATCAGACAGAAAGATAATGGATGTAATGTTTAGCCTATTTACGGAAGTGGCTCTCACAAAACTAATTAAAAAAAAAACATGACGCTGAGAAAGATATGGTGGTTCTGATAATTATTATATGTACGAAAAATCAATATAGCAATTATTCTGCTCTTAGGCCAGAAGGATGTGCTTTTTATACAATTTAATTTCTTAGATTTATGAATGACGGTTTAAACAGATTTTTTTTCCACGTGTTTGGTTCAAATATTAGAGTTTCAAGATGAGAATACTAATTTTTTCACAATGCATCATTCATTATACACTACGAAATGAAGACATAATTTCGTTTATAAGTTGTTAATACAAGAAAAGTATGGGCTTATGGTCCATCAGGATTCGACCGTCGGCAGCTTAAACGTCGTCGTTTGATTGATTGGTCCCTGCCGGCCCAAAGTATGCCTTTTTGTAAAGTTAAACAGTGGGGACTGCAATTCCCAATATCTTTCCGTTAGCTCCGCAATCAACGGCCCAAATTCAGTAATCAGTTAATCTCATACAACCTTTCTCTTGTGAATCTTTTTACAAAACACCGGTCTACCTAAATTAGGGGTGAACATATATATATACCTAAAGCCCGAATCTAAAATTCAAACCAAGATCAAATAATCAGAATCAGTAGCAATTCGAGCAGTAAGAATACGTGTAAGATGATATAAAATATAGCCGAATCCGAAATGTTATTAGCTGGAGCGGAATGGATTATTTGAAAATTGGAATAACTCAAAAAAATTTAATCCAAAAATCTAATTAAATTTGAAATAAATATTTTAAACTTAAAAAATACCTCACACGCTACATTCTATTATTATTTTCATTTAGTTTTAAAATTATCAAAATTTGAACAAAAATTATCCGAAATGAATCCAGATTCAAAATGAATACTTAAAAAAAAAGAGATAAATATCTCCCAAGCAAAAATACTAGTATTAACCGAGTCTAACCCGAATAAGAACCGAACAAGTAACCACCAACCAATAATTACCATCTCTGTTACCTCTCTTCGAGTGGTGTTGGTGTGACTCCCTAACGAGAAAGTAGAATCATTTTCAAAAAAGCTCTTTTTCTTTTTACCCTCTCCTTTTGCTTTTGTTTTGCTCTTCACAATAACCATGATTACTTAGAGAGTGCTTTTCTTTAAATTCCACAACAATCCATCTTCTCTCGGTTCTTTGTTGCGGTGGTGGTGGCGATGGCAGAGGCGTTGCCTGATGTGAACATCCAGACCAGTTCCGAGAATCTTGGGTTATGCGTCGACAAGTCTGATATACAGGGGATAAGGAAAGTGGGTTCGAGAGCTGAGATCGATACTTCTCCTGCATTCAGATCGGTTCAGGAGGCCGTGACCCGGTTCGGTGGTCGTGGCTATTGGGTTCCTTTCAAGCTTGAGGACAATTACGTAAGTCTTCTTCTCCAATGTGGATTAAGTTCACCACATTGATACAATGATGCATTTTATACTTGAAGTTGATGCTCTGATGGTGACCAAACTGTACGTTATTACATGATTGCTGTCCAAGTTTGTGAAACTGAGTAGAATTGATTAATGACTTATATATGTGCAGTTGACTAGCACTTCACAATAAAAAACTTTTGTTGAATTTCATAAGTGAGCTGTTTGGTTTCATCTTTTGAGGTTCTTGAGTTTATAACAACATATATGTAAAGTTATAGTATCAAAGTCGTAATTATGTTGATCGTTGTGTGTCTATGCACACATTAATGAGATTAGTTTCATAACAAGGGTGCTTGTTTTGTTTGATTTTTGAATATTTGATAATCTATATATGTGATTATTGTGAAATTGAGTTATTAAACTTACACATTTTAATGTTCTCAGAGTTTATAGCAACATATACTATAAGTTCTAAAAAGTATAAAGGTCTTTGCTGAGATTACTTTCTTTTTTTTGAATTAAATGTTAAATTGAATTCAAAAAAGAAAATCCTTTTTACAATAAAGTCCTTTCCAAAACTCCTCTTAACCATTATGAAAAAACACAAACAAATAAATCTCAGCTTCAAACTTCTTCAAAACTTCTACTCCAAGCAATCCTCCAACTCTTAACTAGCTCTCACTCCTACTAGTTAACCAGCCCTCACNTTTTTTTTGAATTAAATGTTAAATTGAATTCAAAAAAGAAAATCCTTTTTACAATAAAGTCCTTTCCAAAACTCCTCTTAACCATTATGAAAAAACACAAACAAATAAATCTCAGCTTCAAACTTCTTCAAAACTTCTACTCCAAGCAATCCTCCAACTCTTAACTAGCTCTCACTCCTACTAGTTAACCAGCCCTCACTCCTACTGGATTTTATCAGCTCTCACTCCTACTGATATAAGACCTCCTTCTCTAGCTCTCACTCCTACTAGAGTCCAGCTCTCACTCCTACTGGATTAGCATCAGTCACTCGCAATACCGCATCCTGCCTTGTCGAGAACCAAATTTGTAACCCTTTATCCATGCTTTTATCGCCCTTACTCTGTATCAAAGAAAGCCTATTCCTCATATTCTTATCAATGAGCTTAACCAAAAGATCAGCAGGAGCATTAGGGTCCCCATGACGACGTCTATTACGTTCTCTCCAAAGCATGTAGACTGTAGCTTGCAACAAGTATTTTAAGAGGAAGTTCAGAACCTTACCTCGTCCACCAATTTTCAGAAGACGGATAATCTCATGCCACTGGTTTGAGAACTGATCGCGCAAAATGCCTTTTACTAATGCTTCCCAAACTCGAGAGGAAAAAACACATTCAAAAAATAAATGTTCCAAAGTCTCCAAAGGCGCTGAACACAGACTGCAATCTTCTCTAGCATTACAATTCCAAGCTCTCAGTTTATCACCAGTGGTAAGCCTTCCTTTCATAGCCAACCATAATATAAAAGAGTATCTTGGTGTCGAGTACTTAAACCAGACCATATCAGACCACCCCACCAAAGTTTTCTTCACTCTTATATATTCCCAAGTTTCAGATGATGAGAAAACCCTCCTTGGCAAGCCTCTCCCATTTAACCATAACGAAATATCAGACTCATCCGTCCTACTACCTCTGCTTTTCTGAATTTCATCTTCTACTAAATTCAGAATAGGGACTCGATGATTGCGACGTCTATGTTTCCAACTCTCTTCCACTGTCGCAGCTATTGAAATCCCCATATCAATACGACTCCCTGCATTCAAAATATCATCCAATAATCCCAAAGGAGACCAATGCTCTAACCAGAACAAAGCTTTTTTCCCATTCTTAACTTCAACTCTATACATCTTCTTAGCAAGCTCCCTACACTTTAGAATCTTCTTCCACATCCAGGAACCAACTTGAGTAGACTCCTTAACCATCCAGAAAGAGTTCTTACGGATTAAGTAAATTTTAACCCAATTAACCCACATTGAGTTTGAAGAAAGAAGTCGCCAAACTAATTTCAAACAACTTACATTGTTGATCTCCTTGAGTCTTCGTAATCCCAAACCTCCCTCTTTCTTGGTACTACAAACGTCAGCCCAAGATACTTTAGCTCTCTTGTTGTTCAAATCTGTACCAGACCACAAAAAAGCTGAGCAAAGCCTCTCAATTTCTTTGATGCACCCACTAGGAAGCCGAAAAGCAGACATCCAAAAGTTTGCAAGACTTGTGATGACTGATTTAATCAGTTGAACCCTCCCTGCATATGAAAGGAATTTCCCAGTCCAAGAACCCATCTTTTTCCTGATTTTCTCCACCAGTGGCATGTAATCAAGAATTGTCATAGACTTGGTTAAAAGGGGAAGCCCAAGATAACGAACTGGAAGACTACCTGATTCAAAAGGAAAGTGGCTTAATATCTCCTCTTTCTTCTGACTCGAAACTCCAGCTAGAAACAGGGTAGACTTCTCTAAGCTAATGCTTAGCCCTGACATCTTATCAAATCCATCAAAAACTCGCAAAATCTCCTCCACAGATTGCTTTGTACCATCCGAGAATATCATTATATCATCTGCAAAACATAGGTGAGTCAAACCTATGTTCTTACACTTAGGATGGAACCCTATTCTTCCTTGGATCGCTGCTTCATCAACCAGTCTCGACAAAACATTCATACAAATGACAAAAAGGTACGGAGATAGTGAGCAACCTTGACGTAAACCTCTCTTGCTTTGGAAATAACCAGCNCATCCGAGAATATCATTATATCATCTGCAAAACATAGGTGAGTCAAACCTATGTTCTTACACTTAGGATGGAACCCTATTCTTCCTTGGATCGCTGCTTCATCAACCAGTCTCGACAAAACATTCATACAAATGACAAAAAGGTACGGAGATAGTGAGCAACCTTGACGTAAACCTCTCTTGCTTTGGAAATAACCAGCTAGTTCGCCATTAATTTGCACAGAAAAGGAAGCCGTAGTAATGCATAAAGAGATCCAGTGAATAAATACCTCCGGGATCCCCATCGCCCTTAAAGTGTTCATCAGGAAATCCCATTGTACCGAGTCGAAAGCCTTAGAGATGTCGATTTTCATAGAGCACCTAGGGGAAACTGTATCCTTGTGGTAATCCTTTACTATCTCCGTAGCCAATAAGACATTTTCCATGAGGAGCCTCTCTTTTATAAAAGCTGATTGATTCCAAGTGATACACTGTGATAGAATAATCTTCAACCTACTAGCCAAGATCTTGGAGATCAATTTGTAGAGCACATTACAACAGGAAATTGGCCTATAGTCCTTTATCACCTTAGCCTCAAGCTTCTTAGGAACAAGAGCCAATATGGTCGAATTTAAACCCTTAGGCAGGAATCCCTTCAGAAAAAATGATTGCACCGCAACTGTAATGTCATCTCCCAATACTGACCAAGATTCTTTAAAAAATTCCGTTGTGTACCCATCTGGCCCTGGGGCTTTGCAACCTGCCATCTTGAATAGAACACCTTTAATCTCTTCTCTAGTTACCTCTTTTATCAATCGCTGACAATCAACCTCACTACACTTAAACTGCAGCAGATCACTCAATCTCTCAACTGTAGCTCCTTCAAACTCAGGTGGTTTCTTTGACATAAACTCGTCAAAAAAAGATACAGCTTCACTCATAATCTCCTCCTTAGAGGTTACTATCCTACCATTAGAGCATTGAATCTCATGAATAGAATTACGAACTTCTCGTATTTTAGCAGCATTGTGAAAGAACCGGTTATTTCCATCACCAACCTCTAACCAAAACAATTTTGCCTTTTGTTTGAGATACTCTTCCTCCAAAGTAGCTAACCTCTGCCATACTTTGTAAGCACGAGCCTCTTCTTTAATATTTCCAGCTAGAGGATCCTCCAGGGTGATACGTTGCCTCTCACAGACATAATCATAAGCCTCCTTAGCTCTCTTTGATAACTCCCCTAGCTTATCTTTACTAAGCTGTCTCAACGGATACTTCAACATCTTTAATCGTTTGGAAAGACGAAAAAGTGCAGAAGTTGAATGGAAAAGCTTCTCTTGATCCTTCCAAAAATCTTCTAACAATAATTTGAACTCCGGCATCTTGGTTATAGCATTGGTGAACTTAAAAGGTTTCTTCTTCCTACTCTCCTCGGATTCAAAATGAATTCTACACCGTAAATGGTCCGAACAACCTCCCGCTTCAAAAACACTATAAGCTTTCCTACCATGTAGCCAATCTTCATTAATTAACACTCTATCCAGCTTCTTGCAAATCAACCCATCTTCTCTCTTATTACACCAAGTCAACAGAGGACCATGAAATCCCATATCTATCAATTTGCAGAAGTTAGCAACATCCTGGAACTCTCTCATACCTACTGGTTGCCTTTGTAATCTATCAAAACCCGAATGCTCATGATCCTCCAAAATCTCATTGTAGTCACCCATAATCATCCATCTTTTTTTCCTAAACATCGGAGCTTCATAATGACACTTTATTTCCTCCCATAAACTTCTCCTTTCTTCTACCGTGTTCAGAGCATAAACGAAAGAGCATAAAAACTCCTCAGTCTCTCCCGGCAGTAAAATAGAACAAGTGATTAATTGTTCACTCTTGTAAACCGGGGTTAAACGAACTGATTGTTTCCAAACAACCCAAAGTCTCCCCAGCCTATTGTATTCGTAATTCGCCATAAAATCCCAATCCTTAAACACACTAGAAGCAATCTTCAAAGCTTTATTTTCCCTCACCCTTGTCTCAATCAAACAACCAAAAAGAAAGTTATTGTTCCTCACCTACCTCCGAACCACATCATGTTTAGTTGTTTGGTTAAAACCTCTAATATTCCAAAAAAACCCTACCATTAGAGATTTTTTGTAGAACCCCTTCCCATAACTACTCGATGATTCGTTTTAGATTGCCTAGGAAGGTTTTGCCGCGGTCTACCTCTCCTAGTTTCTTTGATTTTCTCACCAACACTTTCTTCTATTTGACTTTGATAAATATCTTCAGCAGTCTCAACATCCTCCTCCTCGGTTACTTCTATCTCATCCTTATCCATCTCATCTTTATCAATCTCATTCCCTAGTTCATCCGTAGAGCTTAAGGCAGCAAATCTAGAGGGGGTAGCTATTATCTCCTGACTTGGTTGAGCTTTGGGGCTTCTACCAGCTTTTTCTGTCGAGACCGCCTGCCAAGGATTACCATTAGCTTTCGAAGAACTCTCAACAATAGTTTCCTCTGCAACCTTTTTTCCACTACTTGAACTACCTTTCTCACCCTCTACCACATCTTCAGCATTCTCTTTAGTCTCTAACACCTTTGAGGACTCACTCCCTATCTCCATATTTTCCTTCCCAATAGTAACATCCAACATTTTTGCTTTACAAAATGTATCAAAGTGACCCCATCTTCCGCACTTGATACATTTTGGAGGAAGCCCTGGATAAGTGAAGTGGATTGTAGTATCCACTCCTTGAACAACATAGTTAATCTTATCTGGAAGCTCTTTAGACAAATCAGCCATAACAAACACCTTCGCAATCTCCATGTTTGAGCAAGCTAGAGTCTCCGGATGTAAGTGATCAGGTACCCCTGTAGCACTCGTAATGAAGCTTAAACCTTCCCAGGAGTACATGCTCAATGGAACATTAGACACATGTACCCAGAGAGGAGTAAGCCCCACTTTAGACTTATCTTCTTCCGGCGCCCAGTGAGAAACCACCATCGGAACTCCCGCAACATTCCATACACCTCGTCCCACAACCTTCCTTCTAATCTTTTCATTTGGAATCCTGATACGCATCGTGTGCTCATCCATCACATACACATCCAGCCTTTGATTAGTCTCACCATACGCCCAAATCTTGTTAACTATCATGTGTACCTTTGCTATATGAGGTGCTGTCTCCAGAAATCTCGCTATAACAAAGTCATCCCACAGTGGACTTGCCTTCTCGATGATCTCCAATGGAACCTCTACCGTTTTCTTACCCTCTGAATCCGAAACCGCAAACTCATACTTCTTCATAACTTGCTTCCCCTTCGCTACAGTGACCCAAGGACCCTTTGGACGATCGATCGGAAGTGGATTATCCGTCGGAACCTCCACCGGAGCCGCTTCTGTTGCCATCGAGACGGCAAGGAAGCGAGAAAACGAGAATCGCCCTTTTTTTCGCCAAAATCGCCTAATTCGAAAACGCAGCGTTTTTGACCTGGTATCCTTGCTGAGATTACTTTCATAACAATTTTTTTTGTTTCGTTTGTTTTTGAAGATTTGATAGTATAATATCTGTGATTATTGTTATCAAGTTGGATTAAGAGTTGAAACTGTGAGTTTTATAGATGTTTTGGTTTTGTCTATTGTTCAGAGTGGTGTGGGAGAATTTAACATAAAGAGAATGGAAGAGCATGCAGCAGAGCTAGAAAAAGATCTGATAGTGAAAGAGCTGGAAACTCTAGATGTTCTAGAAGCACTTGGATCCACTAAGAGAATCGTTGAAGATTTGAAACGACAACTTCATCAAGAATCCTTGAGATCAGCTGAACAAATCAAAGAGATGAACAACGATGAGCATTACAATCACAACCCCTTGTCATCTCCTGATCTGATCTTAATGGAACTGAAGCAAGCCAAGATAAACCTTAGTAAAACCATGGATGATCTTGTGATGATCCAGTCCTCTGTTGAGTCTCTGAACAAGAAAATGAAAGAAGAGAAAGAGTTTCTTGATAAGACAAGAGAGAAGCTCACGTTTGGGTTTGGTGGAGCCGTGTCTCTAGCTGAGGAGCTGAGCAGAGTTAGGGTGAAACCACATGTTCCTGATGAAACAGGTCTAAACCAACAGAACAAGAACTGTCTGAGAACTGCGGAGATGAGATTGGTTGCTGCTAGAAAAATGGAAGAAGCTGCAAAAGCTGCAGAAGCACTAGCCATTGCTGAGATAACAATGTTATCATTATCATCATCAAACGGTGAAAGTGATGATGATGGTTCAGAGTTTTGCTTTCCAGAGCCTCCAAGATCTCCCTTAACACCGAGAGGACTTAGGAAGGATACTGATAGTGATAGCTCAAGAAGTGGGGTTTTGAAGAAGCTTGAGGAAGCTACACAAGGAGTTAAACAAAGTAAACAAGACTTAGAAGCTGCGTTAAACCGAGTAGAGATTGCTAACGTGAAGCAACTCGCAGCTGAGAACGCTTTCCGTGGCTGGACAAAAGACCCATCACCGAAAGGTGTTAACTTCAAACCTGTGAGTCAAACCCGGCGCTCGTTTTTCAGACATCTGAACAAGCAGCATGAGCCAGTGCTAAAGTCTAATGTCTCAATGCGTGATGTTTTGAGGCGTAAGCAAGTTCCTAAGGAGGATGGTGTTGTCTCCGAGACGCAGAACGTTGAAGGACAAAGGAGGAATGTGAATTTGAGTCAAATGTTGAAGGAGCTGAAGCATGATATTAAGTCTTCTTCGGCACGAGGTGAGAAAGAAGAGGTGCATGAAGAGAAACAATTTGCCACGCAGAGGAGAAAGTTTGGGTTCATACATATTACACTTCCCATGCAGAAACAGAGTAAGAAAAAATCTAGCGTTTAATATATAGTTACAACTACTTCTAGTTTGGTCCTAATGTGTTTGTTTATAATAAGTTTTTCATTTGTTATGATGTGGTGTGAATTGTGATTGCTCTTCCTGTCTTTATATTTGTATTCAAGAAAATAAAACACAATGCTAGTTTCTAAGTTTTTTTTTTTATCAAAACTAGTTTCTAATAAGTTTCTAACCAAAGCCTTAAAGGACAAAGCATACATGACTAAGTTAAAGTAAAACATTAGTAGTGCAGTTGATTTGATTGATTTTAAAATTTATAAGTTCAAATAAAATTTATTAATTTCTAGATATAACATCAAAAGTTTAATTAAATTTTATATATACAAATTTTTATTTGGAATTTGAGATTCTATATTTTAAAGAATATTTGGATTAAACTCTTTATATTTCCAACCGGTCTCATTCATGTTTTATAAGATGAACCTATGTGTTTCGACTGTACATGCGGACATAATCTATTTATATATATATATATATATATATATATATATATATATATATATATATTAATAAATGTACTATTA